CGACAGGGCCCAGCGCCAGGTGCCCCAGAGAGGGTGGACCGAAGACAATGATCAAGCAATTTGTCTTCTGCCATCTCTCTCCAGGCCAAGGACACCATTTTATCCCCGGCTAATAGCCTTTTATGGACCTAACCTCCATGAAATTATCTAGCTTCTCTTTAAACTCTATTATAGTCCTAGCCTTCACAGCCTCCTCTGGCAAGGAGTTCCACAGGTTGACTACACGCTGTGTGAAGAAGAACTTTCTTTTATTAGTTTTAAACCTGCTACCTATTAATTTCATTTGGTGTCTTCTATTAGGGAACTAATAAATAACTTTTCTTTATCAGCCCTCTCCACACCACTCATGATTTTATATACCTCTATCATAGCCCTCCTCAGTCTCCTCTTTTCTAAACTGAAAAGTTCCAGTCGCTTTAACCTCTCCTCATATGGGACCCGTTCCAAATCCCTAATCATTTTAGTTGCCCTTTTCTGAACCCTTTCCAAGGCCAAAATATCTTTTTTGAGGTGAGGAGACCACATCTGTACACAGTATTCAAGATGTGGGCGTACCACAGTTTTATACAGTTTTATACCATAGTTTTATACAAGGTATACTTCCTTCTACAAGGCATAATTCCTTTTTGCACAAGAGTTCTTGCACAAAAAGGTGTGTGTGGACACTCAACAGGGGTTTCTTGCACAAAAAGAGCATTCACAATAAGTACAGGTGCTATGATGGCCATTCTGTGAATGGCAATTAGAACTTTCTTGCACAAGAGTGTCCATGTAGTATGGATGCTTTCTTGCGCAAAAGCTCCTCGCTTTTGCAATGTGCTTTTGAGGTGTGGATGTGCTTTTGTGCAAGAACCCCGCAGTGTAGACGAAGACTAGAGTATACCTTACTGCCATTATGGAATGTCATCATTAGATTGATAATCATTTTATTATATACCTATCTGATAAAAAAAAGATTCCTTAAGGGCCTTCAAAACCTATACCCAGAAGTCTAAGGTCTCACTCCATCTTGGGACTTCAGCCTAGTCATACACTGCTTCATCAGCTTTCTGTTTGAACCCATTGTTTGTTATCTGTTCCCACATACTCATATCTATGCAGACATCCTTTCTAATAGCCATCACATCCACTCAGCATGTTGTGAAAATAGGGGCCACAGTTTTCTTCTGAGATAAGGTGATGTTATGTCCACACCCAAAGTACCATCACCATTTCATCTGAACCACCTTGTTCACCTTCTGTCTTTCTTCCCCAAAACACATGAAAATAGGAAAAAAAGCCAGTTATGCATCTTAGATGTTAGAAGGATGCTGGCCTTCTATTGCCAAAGAACTAAACTGTTCAGAAAGTCACCACAAAGATATAAAAATCTGCCATATCCAAACAAAGTCTCTCAAAATGGATTTCCAAGTGCATTCGTCTCTGCTACTGGCAACATAATCTACAACTCCCACCAGGAACTTGAACACATTCCACTCAATCATTTTCCATTCAATAACTTTCCTGAACAATGTGCCAATTACAGACATGGTTAAAGCTGCCAGCTGCATGTCAATGAACGCATTCATACAATATTACGTGATCATGCAGGACTCATCATCAGATACTATATTAGGACAGGCAATCCTATCTTCTTTAACAAATCCAACTCTAAAGCCCCAGACTACCAACTTGGGGCATTTATTTACAGTCATCTAAAGTGGGGCACCCAAAGGAACACACAACTTGAAGAATCCCAGTTACTGCACAGGGTAAGTAAGCCTCTCATAATTTTGCTGAATGCCCCTAATAGGCAATACACTCCCCTCCCCCACACAAGAACTGAAGCTATGCACACTCTACCACTTACTGTGGTATAATTTACTCACTCAGGGGTGTAAATAAGCCACATCCCAAGCAATGTAAATTACAATGATGTAAGTGCCTTGATAGGAAAGCTATTCTCACCAACATTGCTACCACTGCTCATGGGGACTAGAGTAATTCAGTTGACAGAGTGCTCCCATTGGCTTAGAGTTGTCTGCACTAGTGGCACTATAGCAATGCAGCTACATCAGTGGAACTGCATCACTGTAAGCTCTGTAGTGTAGCCATAGCTTGAGCCTAACAAGGATATCTTTTTGACAATTTATTTCCCCTTTTTTTTCTTCTTTTTCCTCCTCTTCCTCCCCTACCCCCATCCCCTCTCTGTGCTATTTATTTGAAAACTGGTCCCCTTAAACTCCATTCAATGGAAAAGTGGATTGTGCACATGAAAGCTCATGATACAATCTACATGTTTTGTTAGTCACTAAGGTGCTGCAGGACTATTTGTTGTTTTTTAAGTTTCTTCAGTTATAAACTAACACAGCTACCCCTCTGAAACTTAAGGACATCTTTAGTAAGGGGGAAAGGAATACAGCCCTAATCTGGGAAAATACAATAAACATATAATTTCCAAGGGCAGAAGGGACCGTTGTGATTATCTGGTCTGTATAACAAAGACCATAGAACTCCCTCAGAATAATTCAAATACATAGCAATAAATAAACAATATATTTCAGATAACAATAAGTAAAACACCCATCCCTGTGTAATCCTCCACTTCAAATTCCTCATCTGCCAATATGAACATTTAATGAATGTTAAAATCAGGAATAAGGGACCTTTCAGTAAAGGCTTTATTTTCCAAAAGATCCCGTCTAGACTGGCGCTTTTCTCTGGCAAAGCTCCGAGCCGGAAAAAAGCGGCAGCCCTGTTTATACAAATGAAGCGGGGGATATTTAAATCCCCCGCTTCATTTGCAATTCCGACTTGTCTAATCTGCATCCCTTTTCCGGAAAAGGGGTGCAGTGTAGACACAGCCGGAGTGTACAGAATAGGAAAAAGTCACTATTATATGTAGTTGTGATGACAGCTGCTTCACCGTCTTCCTCTACCTTGTAGTGTCTATTTTTAATATAAAATTCCCAGGAGGTAGAATTGGGTTATCAGGCTCTGCCATTCAGAGGTCTTGTGGAGAGGCTGATGGCATCCAGTTCACCCCACTCCTCCAGCAAGGTCCTGAGCCAATAGCCAAGGGCACTGGGGGAGTTGAGGGGGCTGTTACATCTCAAACAAAAGTCAACTCCCTGTTATTCTGAGAAACCCTTCTTTCCTTCAGCCCCACAAGCTCTCTAGCTTATCAGGTAGCCAACAGAGATATTATTCTCTACACAATAAGCCAGACACTTAGCTCCCTTTCAGGAAGATCAGATGCCTTATTATTGAAATAATTAGTTTAGAAAAAAATACCAGTGCAAATAAGAACAAGATCTCAATTCTTTTTTCTGTTTGTAATACTGAGGGAATAAATATCAGTCATGATATTGTTCAATTTCTTAAAAACAGGCTATTTTTAAAGGACACAGGCAGAAAGAGTGGTGTTCAGTATCATCCTGTATAACTACAGGTGAGGGCCTAACATTAGGTCTCTGAGCATCAAACAGAACTAACTAATAATGTAGGCGTAAAAAATAGTGCACAAGGGTTTCATCTTGAAAGAAACTGATGCTCTCACTTGTTCGGGTTTTAACTAGGTATGCATAGAAACAAACAAAATACATATCTTATTGCAATGGATTTTTATTTGGATTTGTAATGAGTAAATGGAAATCATTAGTGGGCTGTCCCCACGAAAGCTCATGATACCATTTACATGTTTTGTTAGTCTTTAAAGTGCTACCAGACTTTTTGTTGTTTTTTTAAGTTTATCCTGTACAGACTAATGCGGCTATCCCTCTAAAGCTAATTATTCTTTTTCATCTTCTTGTTTAATTTTGTAAATAATGCCAAATACCAAAGTGGGAAAAGTCCTGATCTCTTTTACAAACATAACTACATTATTGCCATATAGCTGAGATAATGAAGCAATAATTCAGCTAACATGGTCCCTTTCTGCCACCTTGTGGCACAGCTGTATTTGCAAAGGTCCGGCTACATAATCTGTTTGGCATGTTAGACTTTAGCTTTATTACTTTCAGCTATTTCTGGGTACTTGCTGCAGGTATTTTCCCGACGAGGCTAGTGGTCATACCTTTCAAATGTTAGGCTACTTACAGCCTGCATATACATGTACTGAGTCCCCATTTAGTGGACACTAAGGGTACGTCTAGACTACATGCCTCTGTCTACAGGAGGCATACCTGGGTGGTCAACAAATACCTTTGATGTCGACACCCGCACGTCCAGACTATCGCGCTGAGCCGACAAACAGCTGATCAGCTGTTTGTCGGCTCAGTGCGGCAGCCATGTAAATTTAAATGAAGCGGAGATTATTTAAATTGCCGCTTCATTTTCCTATGTCTGGTAGCCTAATCTACATACCTCTGGCGACAGACTTAAAGGAGGCTAGAATTTCACCAACATTTCAGAATGATTTGGTTTATATCACCAAGTTGAAAATAAAGACCATAAAATACATTTTCAAATATGGGTGGGTTTTTTTCAAAACAAATTATGGTCTCATTTAAAACTACACCATAAAAATCTACATTGTAGTATTTGTATATAAAGAACCATATAGTATGATCTTGAGTTCTTTCTATACTATCATACAAGATACTAGCAAACAAGTATCTACTATTTCAAAGTCTGCATCGAGAAACAGGAAATGGTCAGCTTTGATAGAGTTTCTCACATCATTATCTAAGAATGTTTTATAAGTTCAACAGTTTTTTTAAATTATTTTACAAACTCCACGAGGAGTAACGGTAGTTCGGACTAGGAAGCCTAGTCCGAACTACCTAGTTCGTGCTGCGTGTAGCAGCGCGGCACGGGGTTCGAACGAGCAGGGATTTAAAAATGGCGGCGCCCAGTTTATGCAAATGAAGCCCGGGAAATTCAAATCCCGGGCTTCATTTGCAAGTACGGTATGCCTACATTACCCTCCTAGTTCGAACTAGGAGGGTAGTGTAGACATACCCTAAACTTTTAAAGAAAGTGCTACAGCCAGATTTCTTCTTCTTGCTTTCAGATTGGAATCACCAACTCGGTCTTTGAGCATGGATGCACCAAAAGGAATTAATATTAAAGCACAAGCTGGCAATATTGAAGCTCTCTCTCAGATGGATATTAAATTGCATAGCAGTGATGGAATGGTGAGCATGATAAGCCATATTTTTATTACTGAGGTTTATATTGATGTTGTCTGACATTGCCATCAATGCCATTAAGTCATTTTAAGGTGACACTATTGTAAGTGAACATGTTTTAGCAAATATGCTGATAGTTTCAGATACTGATGCCATAATAATACGTTTGTTTATAGGAAAGGGATTAAATAATAATATAAAATAGTGGTTGGCAATAGGGATGTACATGACTAGTCGACTACCCAATAAGCAGGGCTTGACAAGCAGCGGCGAGCCCTGCTCACCAGCCATGCGGTTTGGCATGCTGCACATGCGCAGACAGCGCTGCGCGGCCACACCAGGCTAAAATCTACTTGCCACAGGCGAGTAGATTGCCCTAATTGTCAAGCCCTGCCAATAAGCATAGGCTTATCGGGTAGTCGAGTCACTACTCGACTAGTCACTTTCCCCCCTTGCTGCCTCCATATCAGACACAGCAAGTGGGGAGAGCGGGAGCTGGTGTTGGGGAGAGCTATCTTAAAAGCACTCCTCAAGCAGTCTCAGCAGTCCCCACCCATGCTGGGTCCCAGCTGCTGTGCCTCTGCCTTTGAAATGTAGCAAGAACCATGTGGGGAGCTTTTGCTACATTTCAGAGGCAGAAGTGACACAGTTCCCCATTGCGCCTCTGCCTTGAAATGTAGCAGGAGTCCTGCGGAGTTCAGGAATAGTGAGATAGTTTCTACAGCTTAGAATATCCTACAGTCTGGTGATTAGGTACCTCAATTATGACATGGGAGACATATGTTCCAGTCCCTGATCCAAATCAGGCAGAGCAAGGATTTGAAAACAGTAGCCACTCTATGCTGACAGGAGAGAGCTCTCCCACCAACATAATTAAACAGCCCCCCTGTGAGCAATATAGCTATGTCAGTCCGGGTATGTCTACACTACAGCGCTAATTCGAACTAACTTAGTTCGAATTAGTTAATTCGAACTAAGCTAATTCGAACTAACGCATCTAGAACTAAAAACTAGTTCGAATTAGCGTTTTGCTAATTCGAACTAGCGCGTCCACATTAAGTGGACCCTAAACCAGGCTTAAGGATGGCCGGAAGCAGTGCCGGCAGGGCATCAGAGGAGGACTTAGAGCGTGGAGATGCTGTCTCAGGCTAGCCGAGGGCTGTGCTTAAAGGGTCCCGACCCCCATCCCGGACAGACAGTTCTCAGGGGTGCCCCGCTTGCAAAGCAGTCCTGGCCTGGAGTGCCCTGAGTGCCCACACTGGGCACATCACACCACTCGGCCATCAGCCCGGCTGCACTTGCCGCAGGCTGCCATCTGGGGAGAGGGGGCAAT